CAGCTTTTTTTTCGATAGCTCAAGTTCTTTATCTTTTTATCGTGTTCGACGCACCGTTCGTATCTCGTTAACCCTGCTCTTGAACTTCTCTTGTCAAATTAATCCGCAATTTTATCTTCATCTGACGTGGAATCCGACATTATCATACATCTTGGATTTGAATCCAGTGTCAAAGTTTCAGAAATCTTTCGAATCTTACATAATCATTTGCCAGGGCGAATAGCACTCCCCGTAACATCAATGACTTGTATATTTCTCTCGCTAAATACATAGATACCGTGGGTCGCACGGTTCGTGAGAAACCTTCGAGTCTTCTCGACGTAAACTACACGTAATGTCCTTGTCATGTGACTCCGTTGTAGTGCTTCCGAATATTTTGCTTCTCGTTCTAATTGTCCTTTGAGTACTGGAATTCAGTTAATTGCCGAGTCTCGATTTCACGTAATTTTACAGACGCTATTTCAGGAACAGACTCGACATCAATCACTTCAAATAAATGCGTTGGCTACGCGTAAGAACTGTCCTTGTACTGTCATGAAATAAAAAAAGATCGTATGTATTGCCCTCAATTGAATGTGGACGACATAATTTAAGTATTTAGATATAGAAATTGTAGAATTAACGTTGAATAGCATGTAGAGATCAGCGGTTCTTTTTGCAGATAGAACGTACCAAGAAACGTATATGCGCTTGTCACATAATGTCGCTTTAAATCCACCGGAACGTGCCAACTATTAAAATCATTAATCTTTAAGATTTCTTCTTTTTTTTTTTAAACTACTTATGTAGTTCTTATTGTGCGAATTGTCGAAAAATTTCCCTGTATGTAGTTCGAATTTAGCGCCACTGGTGCGACGATGCGTCGTTATTGATTTCTCTGTGCTGAACCACACTCGGAGTAGTCTGTCACGCGGTTAAACTCCAAAAGGCCGTAGAATGGTGATCCTACTGTGCAAAGGTATTAAACCCCAATTGGGAGGAACAATTTCGGTGCCTCCTCGGTGGCCGGTGTAAAAACCGTCGTGTTTCATGATCGCGAGCCGGAAAACGAGATTACCCCACGGAAAAACGTGTCACGGGCACCTCCTTTCGCCATATGACCACGAAGCAAGAGAAGTCGCTGCTCCTTTGCCTTACGCTTTATACGCCCGAAAAATCCAAATTATGTCTAATTAGTTAAACGATAGACGTAAAAAATCCCGGATAAAAACAGTGCAAGTCTCAATTTTATTCGACTGGGAAGAACGTGCCCAATGCTGTGCAGTGTGCTGCATAAATTTGGGCCTGTGTCATTTAACAGTTCCCGAGGTTCTGGCGTTTTGCGCTAGTCCAATTAATGTGGCATTAAATCGAAGCATTAAAAATGTTAGAACAATTAATAAGGTGGGGTTACTATCTAGTCGTGTTATATGTCGTGGTACTATACTTGCGCCAAATAATTCTTCATAATTATTGACAGGCTGTAAATTATAATTTGTCCTGACGCGATTGCTCCTATCAATATCCGGGTACAGGATGGACGTATTATAAATTCATTTAAATGCTTATTTAAACACTGGTCTTGTACTTATTGACATCTACTGAGAGTATAATCCACTACTTCGGAAAACATTGCGAGTTTTTAGTTTATTTCATTCGACGCGAGAGTGTCACTAGTCAGTAGGGTGAAACATGATGTATATGCCAGAAATAGTACTTAAATAATTATATGATAAATTATAGTATTAAAACTAATATTTAAGTAATTATTCCTGAGAGAGAAATTGTTTGGTTTCTTTTATTTTTATTATTATGTCATTGGAATGTTGTGCTGTCGTAATTCCGGCGGTGATAATTTGAAATTCCAAAAGTATAGGAGCGTTTAGCCAAAGTTAAATAATCAATTTCATATTTACCAGAGAGAGTCAAATATTTACTTTCGTTATCGATAGGACGTGCGTCACATCTTTATTTGCAAAATAAATATTTCTGTGTATTTGCGGTGACCTTTTAATAAATATAATGATGAAAATGAGTCGTTAGATGTCGTGGCAAAATTTCTAGAGAACACTGATATATTTCAAATTTCTACTTGCTTTGACACCGCAACTCCTTTTGACGTGGAAGCTCGGGATTGACATTGACATCGGGATCAGTTAACTTCTTAATAAACCGACAATTTCCTTAGTTTATTCAAGTGAGCGTAATCCAGTTGAATACATCGCAAAATTCGCAAATACAAATAAATAACTATATTATTTTACATTATAGAGTGACTGGCGAAGTGCTCCACGTCATTAACAGAAAATTAATAACCCTAAGTTCGAATTTTTCTCTTTACTTTCGTTGTACATTATGAATTCCGTCATGAATCTTTTAACATTTTTCCCTATATGTTTAAAAATATTTAACAGTCGAATCCACCACTGAACCATTTCATTTATGTGGCAACTCGACGGTGAAAGGATTCTCGACGAGTCGCGAGATTTTCGCAAGGTTCCGGCTGTGCTAATTTTTGTTTTGTGCGTAAATTAAGAAACCGTGGACAGTTATCCTAAAATATCTGAAATTGTTTAGCTCAGTGGCAGCACTTGGAGCTTACTCTTTTACCGACCACGCCATCCAGAGATTTCGGAACACGCGATTAATATATTTCTTTTTTTTTTCTATTTTTTCCTAAGCCAAGGTGTCTTTTGGAAGGATAAGCATTCATGACTCCTACATGGTCATTAAACCTAGTTATGCATATGCAGTCGTGATGCGGCGATTCTTCTAACCAATTTGCGTAATTGTTGTGCGATGATGTCAGTATATATCCGTACGTACTTTGACCGTTCATCATACGATGCGCCGCTTATGCAACTGCGCTAAACTCTTAAACCCTAGCGCGTCTCTCGACATAAAGTGCGAGATACAGTGGTTTGCGGATTCCAAATGCGGGCTGCAATTTATTTGTTTTATTCCAGGAAATTATTCACACGTTGAGCTGTAAATTTAATTTAATTTTAATTTGTGGCATAACATTTGCAAGGCATTAATGGACGTCATGTGCATTAGTCAGATGCTATCAGTGGCATGTTTTTTGGTATAGATGATCTCCGTATAGTACACAAAGCGACGGTCTTTAGAGTATAGTAAAAACATTTTCTTAGAGAATTTTAATACTAAAAAAAATGTTTTTAGAAATCTAGCAAAATTTATATATATATTTTTTTTAAGTGTAATTTCTTATGGCACGATAATACGTCTAAGTTCGCGTGTTATGAAAACGACTCGTATCAAAAAGTGAAACTCTTTTTTTGGTTACAGCGAATTACTATTCACATTCACACTTGTGTATTAGTATTAATTCAATTTGCATAAACGTTTTCATAAGTATTACTGCGTTATTCTACCAGTTAATTATTGACATTTACAGTGAGATAAAAATAATAAAAAGAGGAATGGAAATAATTATGCCAAGAACAAGCGGTACCAAACACGTAAGAGAATTTCCTGAAAGAGTAATTAAGAATAATTAGTAATATCTAATAATTTTCTTTAACTGAGAAGTTTCACCTATAACGCTTTTTTATTTAAAAATTGTTTTTTAAGTAGTTACGAACGACGTCCATGAATTATATGTGTAGTTTTTTTTTATATATAATTAAGGCCTGAAGTTGGAACAAAATTTACACTTTATTTCCTACTACAGTTTACTTTCATAAAAAATGAGGTCAGTATGCGGCACAATTAGTTGCGTTTATTCGGGACTTTGTTTTACTTGACGTGGATTGAAATGTCTTAATATTACTTCAAGGACGGATTTACGTTTTGCAAAGGTGTAATGCATTTCAAATCTATTCGATTCGTGCGAGCGAAGGAGTTCGCGCCCTCGATTAAAATATTGGCGTGGAATGTAGTCTAATTGCTTTCGCAATTAAAAATTACAAATTGCACATTGTCCTTTGTCTTGCGACGGTATGTCAGTGACTGTTGATCATTATCCATATTCCTGTATCGGGTGATTAATACTGAATTTGAAAGACTGCATTTTACGTATTTCTTCATACAAAAGACATTTCCTATTCTCTGCAGTTAATGACCATCGATTACTACCCTTGTTGTTTTGTGTTGAGTGAACTTTACTGAACTTGAAACGACTGCATGTTACATATTTCCTCGTAAAAGGCACATTTCATCCTCTTTATGTTCATGCTTGTATTTACTAGGAATTCTACGTTCGATTTTTTGGGCATGGGAAGTAAGTCGCCAAATTGTCACACAACAAACATACAGAAAGTGTATTTAATTTTGTAACACTCGTTCGCCTTGAAGAGTACAGTGAAAAGCACCACTCTTTGAAGAGCCTTGAGATCCTTTCTTCATATTTATTTGCATCTACGAATCCTGTTAAAGATATCCAGCGTGTGTGCCTGAACTTTGAGTTCTCACGTTACACTTGCGTTTCTAGTAAACAGTACTTCATTTTAACTTGATACTTTCACTGCAAATAGGCACCTCTGGTAGTTGTTTTTGATAATTTTAATTCGTGAAAAACCATTGCTTACTACCATGGGCTTATTTCCAAGAATTGCGAGATTCTTTTGCGATAAATAGACTTGGGATACATTTGTTGTGCCATGTTTAATTTTTCTCCCCGCGGTTTAAAAATAATGTTTCTCGTATTTTTAAATAAAATATACCTTACGACGGCGGTAACTTGCAGTTATCACGTAACCGATAAATTATCTGTGGTCATTTTCTGCCGATAAAAAAAATAAATTGAAAAAAAGGCTTAACGCAAACTGTAAACGCTTTCACTTATAAACGTTTTGTTGGAGGTAATAACGAGTTTAGTTACAAAACTGAAGTGAGCGCTACGCGTTAAATCAAATGTTAAAGTAATATAAAATCATTGCTAACAGATAAAGTTTGATGTCATTAATAATCATTACTATAAATGATGCTGGTGGCAATTTCAATTTTTTCCAAGTATGAAAGGCAAAGTGTTATGTGATATCTTTCTTTGTTTGTTACAGATAATATGACAAGCGAGCAATCACTTTTGGGGAACGGATACATTAACGGATTCTCTCGGGATGATAAAGTGAGTAATAACATTTATATCTACGAATTGCTTGACACAATAACGTATAAGTAATGTAATTGACACACGGTGTGCTGAGCGTTTAGCTTCGATGTTATTATTACGACAAATTGCAGAAATAAGTGAAATTAATTACTTCTCAGGATTACGCTGTTTGAGGATTCTCTGATTCCTTAACGGCTTAATATGACATTCTTTTTTTTTATCGTCTCTTACTGGGCTCCTTAATCCCGAGGGAAAAGAGCGTAAGCAGAACCTACTAATCGAATTGCACCAGATCCAGTTATTCATTTTCTTTCGTAATTTGGCACGATTAAACGTATCGTTATCTTAACTGTTTCATAGTGAAGATATTTTGAAAGGTTTAGGTTTTCAATTTGCACGGTAATTTGTTGCTCCGTAAAAACGTGGATTTCAATTAACGCTGTCATCCGCGGTAGGTCGGCAGGGTGTGAAACACCTGATAAGCTTGCATTACAATAAATATGTAAATAATGACTCTTTATGTTTGATTGACAGGTAGTTAGCAAGACTGACTTCCAGTATGCTACCGCCAGTGAAACGGGCTTAGATGGTAAGAATTTGATGTTTTCTCGTAAAAACATACAAGATTATTTATAAAAAAAATTACTATTTTTATTTTTCGTCTTTTTATATACTTTACAATTGGAACACAAGACGTGTATTAAAAGATAGAGAAAAGCAATATATTAATTTCCCTAAACGGAATTGTATATATCCAATTACTTTTTCTATCCATAAAACTATTGGTTGATTCCATGGGAGGATTCTTCATTAAAATTATTCGTGCATTATGCACCCTAATATTTCGTAGTCTAATTAGAGGGGGAATAATTTGAGATAGAATTATCTTGGTTCTAATGGAATAAATGAAGAAATTAGCAGTTAAAATTAAGAGTTCGAAGATTAGTTCGGAGATTAGTTTCATAAACTGTAAAGATGTAATTCCGAAAAATACAGCTATTTGTTATCTATACGTTGAGTATTAATACATAATTACATGTATGTTCAGGTCCAAACCAGATTCTTCAGACGGACGTGGATGCTACCTCAAAAGCCGAAGGCCGCGTAAGGATAAAGATAAACAGTGAGGATGTTGATAAGTTCCAGCCAATGTCCGTTCCTGGACTCTTGATGAAAATTGCAAAACAATGTCCGAACCAGATCGCTTTGGTATCGAGAGCTGGAGTGGACGGCAGAAAAACAACGTATACTTACAGGTATATTCAATTCTGATTTGTAATATAAAATTGTAATACATGGAATTTTGAAATAAGCTATTTTAATTACTAAATTTCTTTATATAAAAAATAGTTGAACTCTTATTAAGTGTAAAAGATTAAACTATTTTTGGTCAAATGATTTATTATTATTATTATTATTATTCTTTTAACAGACAATACAAAACAGATGTAATCTAACTATATTCATTTTAATAGGCAATACGAAACAGAGGTGAGAGTTGTGGCCAAAGCTTTCATAAAATTAGGATTGAAACGACATCACAGCGTCTGCATCCTAGGCTTCAACTGTCCGCAATGGTTTATCTCAGATCTTGCCGCGATTTATGCAGGGTAAGAGGTTTCCTCTATTTTAATAATTCAAGGTCACGACCATGGTTCAGATTACGTTACGACCGAATACGTTTTTATGACTGACCCTGAAGCTCCTGATCGTATTTAAGTATTTTTTGATAATCGTTAAATATAGATCAGAAGGCTCTTTATAGTTTGCGTGAATAAAGTAGTACTTGAAAGAGCATTAAAACATTATCAATCGAAGGATGAACGAATTAGTTAAGCGATATTAATACAATATTTCTACCGGGTCAAGTAGATAGGATAATATTTGTTTTATTCACTCTTTTAAATAATCCTACTTTGCTTATACGTAAGATATTTATATTAATATAATAGGTGCATTATATAAAAAATATATATAAAACATATTTTCTTTTCTTCCAGTGGATTCGCCGTAGGAATTTACACAACAAATTCTCCCGAAGCCTGCCAGCATTGTGCAGACAGTAGTCGTGCTAACATAATTGTAGTAGAAGATGCTAAGCAATTAGAAAAAATATTACAAATAAAGAAGAATCTTCCTCACTTAAAGGCAATCATACAGTTTGAAGGAATACCCAAAGAGAAGGATGTTTTGAGTGTATGTATCTCGACTGAAGTTTAAATGTGCAAGAGAAAGAATGATATAAACCCGTGGTCAATTTTTCTTCAGTGGGCTGATGTATTAGACATTGGAAGAGCGGAATCAGACGATAGGTTGGACTCTGTACTTCGGAGTATCGGGGCTAATGAGTGCTGTACACTAGTGTATACGGTGAGAATTGCAAGAATACACAAATTCGCGTCATGTTCTCTGTATTATTGGTCATAATTGTCATTAGATAGTACTTTGCTTGTAGTCAGGAACAGTTGGCCATCCGAAAGCGGTGATGTTGAGTCACGACAATTTGCTCCACGATTCAGCTTGCATCGTAAAGACGATTCACCTGAAAGATGAATGTGAAGTTGTCGTTAGTTTCCTACCATTATCGCATGTCGCCGCGCAGGTAAGATGGATACATCATCCAATAACGCTAAAAATTAGTTTTTAAGGAAGTGATCATTAATTACAAGATATTATCAAATAAGATTCTTTTTATACAATGATCAACATTCTCGAATTATATCAATTCCATGTTTGCAGGTGGTAGACATATTCATGTGCATGACAGCGGCAGCCACGGTTTATTTTGCGGATAAGAATGCACTTAAAGGCAGTTTAGTAAAGACGTTAACGGAGGCGCGTCCAACTGCGTTCTTAGGAGTCCCACGAGTTTGGGAAAAGATTTATGAGAAGATGCAGGACGTCGCTCGCAGTAATGGGCCTATAAAAACATGGATCGCGAATTGGGCTAAAGCACAAGGACTGTATTATAATATGAATAAAATGAACGGGGTCGATTACAAACACTGGGGGTACCTCATTGCAAAGTGGCTAGTCTTCAATAAGGTGAAGTCAACGTTGGGTTTGGACAGGTGTAAAATATTTGTTACCGCTGCAGCACCGCTAAGTACAGAAATCAAAAGGTACTTTATGAGCTTGGACATTCCTATAATGGAAGCATACGGAATGTCAGAGTGCAGCGGAGCTCACACGCTCAGTTCAAATGAACGTTACAGGTAAATGACGTGTACTTTAGCATATACGTTAGTGAATATTAAAGTAGTAAATACAATTTGATCATCATTATCTCTTTCTCATTAGGCTCGGAAGTGTAGGTCCAGTTATGAAAGGACTCGGGACAAAATTGGACAATCCGGATGACACTGGTGAAGGAGAAATTTGCATGGGCGGTAGACACGTCTTCATGGGTTACTTGGATGTACCGGATAAAACTAAAGAAACAAAAGATGATAATGGATGGTTGCACAGTGGCGATCTTGGTAGAATAGACGTTGATGGTTTCTTGTATGTCACAGGTAATAATTCTTACATTAATATTCAGGCCATTAATTAGAACGTTCGATGAGGGTCACAGACAAGGGTTGTACTTTACTGATTCTAATTTAACTAACTAACAATTAACAATATTAATTATTTTCACTTTTTTTGTGCGACGTAATGATATAATTTGTTTCATTTGTACAATTTTCAGGAAGAATAAAAGAGCTCATAATAACAGCTGGTGGCGAAAACATTCCACCAGTTCAAATAGAACATACCCTACTGTCGGAACTCAAAGTCCTCAGTAATGCCGTGTTAATTGGAGATATGAAAAAGTACTTAACAGTTCTAGTCACACTGAAGGTATGTCGCATTTCACAAATCGTTAATAGCACTATTTAAAATAAACGATGTATAATTGTAATTTCAATTCTTAATTATGCTCAGCATTCACAACTTTCTTTTCAGACTGAAATGGATTCGGAAACTGGAGCACCCTTGGATACTTTGGCTTCAGAAACAAAAGAGTGGGCCCGATCCATTGGCAGTAAATCGGAAACGGTTACGGACGTTTTGCGGACTCAAGATCCATGTGTAAATATATTTTCAGTTAAATACTACATACAACATGCCACAAATACAGAAACGAGAAAGACATGTTAAATTATCTACGATTTATTTTCTCAATTTTCGGTTATAATACATAAATCTTATTACAGATATATAAGGAAATTGAGGACGCTATTCAAAGGGCAAACACGCATGCTATAAGCAATGCTCAAAGAATGCAAAAGTTTCGGATCTTACCGCACGATTTCTCTGTACCAACTGGAGAGCTGGGACCAACGCTCAAGGTTAGGAGAAACGTTATTTACAAGGTTTACGCGGATTTAATTGAGGATATGTACAAGTAAACAGACAGTAGAAAATGAAATGCTAAGGAGAGTGCTGGACACCGGTCTTAATTGAAGCAGTACAGAGAACAGGGAGAGTATCTTTTATTTTCCGTGCACCAGCACTTTTCATGAATTCCATTAATGCGTCAATAGATAGTTGGTTACAAAGCATACAAACATGTGATATTATGTAAATGCGTTTTCAATTTAATTAAAATAAACTAATACTTTTCGTACAGTTATTGGTGTATCATATTTGAAATTGAGGTAAATTTCACCGAATATATCTCAGTAAATGGTGTTCAAATACATATGAGATTTGATACAATGTACTAGGTAACACATACTAGGACATCTATTTTTTTCATATGTAAACACGAAACAATTGAATTTTCAACTGTAACTGCAAGAAATTGAAATTCAGTGTAGGCAACTATTTGACGTATTTGAATTTACTCTTCAATGAATGTTTGTGCTCTGTTTATACTGCAAATAATTTGTAAATATACTTTAACAGTAAGAATTTGCATTATGACAAGAGTATACCAGTTTTTCAGTTGATCAAGTCCCATCGATGATGTTTTGTAAAATTGATATAATCCTTAATATGTAAAAGGAAACCTTATATATTTGCTATTTGTAGTCTCACTTTTCTAAACCCAGCAGGTCTTCAAAAGCGAAATTTTCCTGTTAAAAATGTCTGCAGAAGATATAAAAAAATAACGAAACTATTTGTAAACCCATTGAACCCAAATTTGAAAGAATTTTTATAACATTCACCTTGAATTTATCAAAAACGTTTAAAGGCATCAACTTTCATTTCATGTGAAATGGTATGTAAAACAACCGTTATTATTCAATTTTTGTTTTCTTTTAATTCAGTGATAAGAAAATATTTGATTCATTTAAATGGAGTACACACAACAGGGTTCATCTCATCGGTAGAAATGCAAAATATTGCAAACATTTTCATGATTCACGGATGAAGTAATATGACTTCAATTTACTGTTAGGACAGTTACAAAAATAGAAAATCTGAGTTTACTATTAGTTTGTACCGATACTGGAATAAAATCATTATTTTTATGTAGACTTCTTACTCTATTTGTTCCTCAGAAATATGTGTTAAGCACCATTTACGTATAATTGGGCACTATCGATACTTAACAGTTATATCGCTATACTCAAAACTCACTTTAAGAGCGACCAAAAAGACTCGTGTGTGACCTATCGATAAAACAGCGTTCCCAGAGTTAAATTTCAAAGTCACAAATATTATGTGCCTTTAGGCGCAAATTAATTCTACTTCCAATTAAACGGTTTTGTTAAAATATCTTTATATAATATTCTCTTCGTAGCTTTTCTAATTCCAGTTGATAGCTTGACCGACTGAAACGGTAAATAGAATATAGTAATGTTTTAATATTATTCCAGTCAATCATGTTTATTAAATTTATGTGGCCCTTTTCGGTCGCATTTATCAATGAGGGATTTACGTTAAACTTGTTAATAATTTGTGACCAGTACTCTTCTTTTTTGAGTTATAAAGTGTTTCGCGTATGAACTACGTATATAATTTTGTACATAATATTTCTGTACGCGTATTGTACCGAATTTGTTGAAACATCTGTAACAGCATTGTTATTAGATAAACATCGTTAGAATTACGTCTGTAAAGTTCAATAATGTAAAATATGTAGTACTTAAGATGTAAGGGATCCTAAGAAAGAAAGTGCCTTTTTGTAAGAAATTATGTCCATGTATAAATGTAAGTTTCATTGATGAAGTTCAATGAGCATAATAAATTCATGTGTATTGACATGATGTTTCGTACTCTTACATTCCGTAAATATAAAAAGACTTTAAATAAATTTTAATGATATTCGTTAGAAGCTCAAGTAGTATCTGGTAATTTTTACGTTTGTAAAAAGTTATGAGTTAAAAAAACGATTAATGGAAAAATAAAACAGCTTTTTAGAAAATGTGGATGAGTATTGCAAAACAAAATACTTAAGCAGGACATGATGTATATTAACACATTTAAAAGGAATAGCATTTATTATTAATATTAATTTCTACTATTAGGAGTTAAAATATATTACTAATGGAGTGCCGTATAAAAGCTTCTACCCATCTATCATTTTCTATCTTATTTATAAATGATTGTCATGACATCTCTTTTCAAATATCGTGTTCTCTGTAGGAGGTTGAAGTAATTCAATGTATGTAACGATGTAACGATGTAAATTGGATTTCTGGATTTTATGGTAGAATAAGAAAACGACATTTATTAGTGTTCAAATTGAAGCTGTTTTTCATCCTGGAGACGAAGGAAACAGGTAATGTAAAGAAGAGATGCGTTTTAATGGAATATATATTACTAATACTTTATACTTTACAAAACCAAGGCTGTAGGTATACTTGAAAATTTACAGATTTTTATAATAAACTGGACATTCATCAGGAAATATTACTAAGCACATCACAGCACTTCTAAAATGCAGATATATATGCTCATTCATTTTTTCACAAAATGCTTCCAAAGGAGGCAATTTTAAAACATCAGTCAATCATCTGCTTGTCAGTGATTCGTAAATGTTAAATTCTATTTTTGACCGGCATCATTATTGAGTACTTTTTTAGACCTGTTATGTTAAAGCTTAAACAAACGTACGCTGTAAAGATAAAAAAATATGGGATGATTTCTTCTTAACCATCTTTAACAATGTATACAATTGCCTTTATTTACTATCTAATGGGCTGAATGCAAAGCAAAAGAACGTGAAAATAATTATTAGAATATTATCAGACTGCAGCATTATTACTTGTAGTTTGAAGCGATACTACTTCCTCAGGGACTAAGCAAAGATACCCCTTTGTTAAATTCTAAAATTCGTTTCAAGTCTTAAGGTATTTTTTGATCATTTGTGACCATGTTTGCACTAACTATGCTGCAGTATGCAATTTCAATAGTTTTCTAAAAGTAGATATTAAATACTCGTACATAAGTCATACCCCTAAGTCTAATGACAATAATTACTGCAGAATGTTAATATGACAAGATGCCATGGGCTGAACTAGTTTTTGCCGATCAAAGTTAATGACTTCATTATAATTATGCACCAGCATCCAGGCATTACTGTTTTAAACTATTATTTTTATAATATGAACATTATATTAAACTCATTGCTTTAAAAAAAAAAAATGAGGATCAATCTTATGAGGTACTCGACGTATTAAACTTTTGTTGAATGATGGATGTCTTCCTTTGAGGTACTGTTTCAGGTGTTGGAATAGCATCACCTGTTGGCAAAACACCAGCCGGCTTCGGTTTCGCTGTTGATTTCTGTTTTGCCATTTGATAATCTCCAGAATCGAAATACTTCTGCTGTAAAGATCATACGTGATTTTGTATTAAATTCATGTACAAGGCTTATCGATAACATAAGATAGTAAGAAAAATTAAAATGAGAATCATGAAAAGTATTTATACGTACCCCTTTAGCTAGCCTCTTTTGAAGAAATACAGAATGCCCACTGATTGGACCACGTCCAGCATTGGGAAACTTAGCTTTCAATTTGGCTTCTTCCAATTTTTCAATATCATTTGAGGACAACTGTAATGAATACCATGATAAAGCTTTCTCAAAAGTAGTTTTAAAATAAAAACATACGTTTACACGCAATCGATGTAATTTTCATTATTATTATTGAACTTATGATTAGCATTTTCATTAAAATTATGAAAAAGGTTGAACTTCTAAGGATAAAATTGTGCACAGAATTGACGATCTTGATATTTATAAATACACATAAATAGTAAAATTATTTCATTCTTCTTGTAATACAGCAATGCAGATTATAAATATTTACTATAAGACAACCTTGTAGTAAGTATTTAAATGACATCCATGTAAACTTAAAAGATATATAATTCATTAATAGAGATCGGAAACAATAAGTCACGGCATATCAGTACATGCAGGGGACAGTACCAAATGTAATCAACTGTATTTGTGATTCTGAAATTTTGCTTCTTACCTCGATCGTCTGGGGAGAATCGTTTGATTGTTCGTCGCTCATGATTAATTCTTTTGGAATAACTCCACGGTGTTTACTAATGTTTCTTTTGTGCCAGATTCCCACTCACCTGACTACGAACACTTTGGCATATAAGAACGCAACCGTGGCTGCGTACCAATTTTTATATACAAATGGCAACAGCAAAGTAACTGCGTTAACACAACGTCAACCGATGGCTGCTATTTACTTAAAACTTGAAAATGGTGACTATGCGAAGTTACCTTCCCATCAAAGCACATCAAAGTGACTAGATCTAGGAACCGTTGAGCTCAACTTTACTAATCTAGTTTGGTGTACATTGGACTCCATCGATGGTTTCCTCCTGGTCCGCACTGCCCTCTGCGGCCGCGCAGCGTACTAGCGGCGGGCGCAGCGCGGAATTCGAATCACTCGAGGGGTAGAATGGATTTTTTAAAAGAAATAAATATTTATAAACAAAAACAATTAATGAAAATGTTTTTAGTATTATTGTGGAGTGTCCCTGACCCACCTAACGTAGTTTTTGTTAAATGATAATTTACAGAATTTTATAAAGAATATAATAGAACATGTTCTATTAAATGTTAACAAGTTTCTTAGCGATTCAATTGTCCCATCCACTAAACCGAAGTTAGAATATTATCTTAGCTTAAAAGAAATAGTTTCTAAATATATATACAGTGAAATACCGTCGGAAAATTTACGACGCATCAACTATCGGACATGGAAACGAAATCGTGATTTCATGTCTGTTATATATTTACGTTCTACACCATTCTTCGTATTCCTCGAATAAATGAATACCTGTAAATCATTAAATGAGTGTGTAAATGAACACCCGTAAACATAAGAAAGACTTTTCTTATCCGAGTTTTTTATAAACGCAAATCGGAGTGACTCTTATGAATTGATTTCATTCGATATAGGTATCCAAAACGTCAAACCCCATTTCCAATTCGTATTTGAAATAAGAACAATAAACTATTATGGATTTCAAATTTTAAATCGATTTTGAATCTATTTGCGTTTGAAATTAAATACTTCCAGAGAAATGAGAATATTAGGAAAGAGTCGATCAGAATGATACTTGTTCTATCAACTGAATCAACTCTCGAGAAAGTTAAACATCACGCGTAACTCGAAATAGCCACATCGGCAAAACCAGATGAGATTAAATTGTTTTCTTGCATTTTAAATACAAATACAAGTCATAAAATTACGTGTCCGAAAAAGGCATGGACAACGGAGGGTTAACGTTACGACTAGATGGCACGGTTAATTCGAGACGACATTTCTCGTGGAGGAATTGATCATCCATTCCCTCTGTTAATTACTTGATCGCGGTCGTTGCAAATTGACAATCCGCCTTACGAGCCGCGGAAGGAAGGGGCGATAAGGCCCGAGGGTGAACGACGGGAAGCGAGAACGCCGGCGGGATGCATAAGATCCGCAAGAGAGCAACGGAGAACGCCGCTCAGGATGGGACGAGACCGCAACCCGAGGTAGAGAGAGAGAGAGAGAGAGAGAGACAGAGAGAGAGAGAGAGTCTTCCTCGCCAGAGTGTAGACATCGATGCTAATCCGATTATCCGGAGCCGATACCGAGACCCTTACAACAGGGAGTGGAAGGCCCGAGACAGGAGTTTTAAGAGCGGTAGAGAAAGCCCGGTACCTATGCGACCCGTAGGAATAAGAGAGAACGCCACGTCTAGGACCCTCGAGCCCCGAGCCGGCGGCCGAGCCGAGCCGGCCCCGACGACGGGAAACTTATTTTTGGTCTTCTCGTTCCCTTTTCCCTCCACGTGTCACGTTTGTCCGAAAATTCATATAACGAAATATTGGCCACTTAAATTTACTTTGGGCTGTAACGGGACTGTTCGGCCGTCGCGAAACATGTTACAACTGGTTTGCGTATAATATCATATTGCAAAACTGTCAATTCCTTCGAAAACATACAATTTTATTTCCAATCGTGTTTCCTCTATTTACTGTGCTTATTTTGGTTTTTTTTTTCCAATAGAAAATACAATCTGCTATTAGGAACACCATATGCAACCCTCATCAAACATATGTTTTCTCGTATTTTTTAGTAAGCTGAAAAAAAAGGAGAGTAAATTCATTTAATTTACTGCGTTAAATGTGGCGAACTCAATAAACCAGTTGACTCAATTTAGATTTGGAGCTATCAATTCTGTTTCAGTCAAGTTTGGAGTTGATTCAACTACAAAATGTGATTTTGTACTAAATGTAAGTTGAACCAACTCGTTTATTGAGATCGCCATGTTTAACTCAGAAAATGAGTTGAATTTACTC